TGCAAGCCCGTGATGTGTCTGTGCTAAGCGGCTGGCTTGCTCCTAGCACGGAGGCGTCCGGCTATTTCTGGCGAGGGTGAGCGATCCCGGGCGAAGCGATGTCGGAGGCCGTGGATCTGTCCTTCCTGTCGGATGTGGAGAGGGATTTGATCCTGCAGGTCCTGCAGCGCGACGAGGAGCTCCGCAAGGCAGAGGAGAGGAGAATCAGGTGAGGACGTGGCTGGCGCCGGCTAGGGTGCTGGTTCCCCTGCTTTGCTCTAGAAGTGGCTGGAGGGGCGAGGGTGTGGGCGATGGGGCTGGGGCGGCAGCTCTGCCCCAGCCCCGGGGTCCTGGCGCGGCTCTGATGGCTCCCGGTGTTGGGGTCCGAGCAGGCGCCTGAAGAATGAGCTGCTGGAGATCCGGCGCAAGGGGGCCAAGCGGGGCAGCCAGCGCTACAGCGAGCGGACGTGCGCCCGCTGCCAGCAGAGCCTGGGCCGTGTCAGCCCCAAGGCCAACACCTGCCGGGGCTGCAACCACTTGGTGTGTCGGGACTGCCGTTCCTACGGCCCCAACAGCTCCTGGCGCTGCAAAGTCTGCACCAAGGAGGCGTGAGTACCCAGGGACAGGTGGCAGGGACCTTCTGTACTCTCCTCCTGTCCCCTTCCTCTTCCCAGTCACCCCAGCTTGATGTCCTATGGCTAACCTTTCCTAGCCCAGTTGGTCTTCTCCAGGACAGGGCAGCTGTCTCTGCTGTCACTTCCCGGGGTGGGCACCCATGGTTGGGTGATGGAGAACTGGGTCGTGCCCCACTCTTGGGTCTCTTTCATCTCCACCCCACTCCTTTTTCCCCCCTCACTTGATGCCGGCGTCCCCCCCACCTCTCCCGCAGCCCGTGTTTCAAGCACACCAGGTTTCCTCCCTCTCGGCCTCCCCTGTCCTACAAAACCCCTCTTGCTCCTGCATTTGCTGGGGATGCAGCTCTGCCCGTTGTCTGCCCAGTGCATTGTCTCTGCCCAGCCACCTGCCGAACGTGCCCACTGTGCCCTTGCTCTCCTTGGCTGGTGGCAGCACCGAGGGTGGCGTTGGGGTGCAGGGAGCAGCCCCCCACTGCCTCCCTGCCTTGCAGTGAGCTGAAGAAGACAACAGGCGACTGGTTCTACGACCAGAGGGTCAACCGCTTTGCCAACCGACTGGGCAGCGACATGGTGCGGCTGTCCCTGCGGCACAGGTCGGCAGGTAGGGGTGCCGCAGCAATGCCTTCTCCCATAGCCTGTCCCTCCGGGATGCTCCAGCTTTCCCTGGTGCACCTCTGCCCAGCGTGGAGTTGTCTGGGAGCAGCTCCTGCTCCAGGCAGTGGGCTTGGAGCAGTGGTCCTCGTGATGCCTCTCTTCTTCCAGCTGGCAAAAGAGAGACTGTGGGACAAACCCTCCTCCAGAAAGCCCAGCTTGGCGAGCCCAAAAGCTCCTCCGCAACCCAGCAGCCGAGCCCCCCGGCACCCCGGGATGGGTCCAGGTGAGGATCCCTGCCGTCGACCCTGCTTTGGGTGCCGGCCCTTGCCTGCTGCAGGGATGGGAGAGACGCTGCCGCCCAGCTCGGATCGTTGGTGGTACAGAAGCTCTCTCTCAGACCAGCCTCCTCGCCAAACAGGACGTACCTGTGGTTTTGTTTGTCTGCAGTTTGTTTCTGGATGCCTCAGACCCTCGGGATGGTAAAAGCGACACAGAGTCCATGGAAAACATGAGCCTGGATGGCTACAGACCTAGTCCTGGTGGCGTGGGGGGCAGGTGAGGGGCTCCCTGGGTGGTTTGTCCTTGGCAAGGCTGGCCTGGCAGAGGATGAGGACCTTCATCTCAAGTGCGCTTTTCTCAGTCTAGTGTGGGGGAGCTGGCTCCCCTGGCTGGGCTGAAACCTGTCCCTAGGCAGGCAGGTCCTCTGCTCCCCATGCTGGGGTGCTCCAGGGAGCTTGCGTGGCTCTGGGGAGCTTGTGGGGAGACGGCGCTTCCCGGCCAGCGCTTGCTCTCCCAGTGGTGCTCTTGGCCTGGGACAGACCTTTCTGTGTCCTCCGCAGGAGTAACTCCCTGGAGAGAGCCGCCCCTCTCAGAGATGGAAAACAGGTTGCTGCACCAGCAGGACCTGCTGCCTCCAGCCTGACCCTCCCTCTTCGCTCCAAAAACGTGTTCTCCTGTGTCCTCCGCAGGAGTAACTCCCTGGAGAGAGCCGCCCCTCTCAGAGATGGAAAACAGGTTGCTGCACCAGCAGGACCTGCTTCCTCCAGCCTGACCCTCCCTCTTCACTCCAAAAACGTGTTCTCCGACGGACGGGTGCGTGCTGCTGCTCCGGCGCGTGCTGCTGCTCCGGCATGCTCAGCCCTGTCCTGGGGCGCAGGGCTGGGAGCCCCATGGGGGGCCCAGCCCTGCCCTGCTCTGAAGGGACCTGTCCTC